TCATTGAACTGTCCAAGAAAAGCATTAAAATTTTAAATATATCAATTTGTATGAGGTAAAATATGAAAAACAAGATCAACAAGGAAAGGCGGCGTTCAAAGAACGCAACCCCCATATGACCCAGCAACAAGAACCATCGGCAAGGAGCCCAGGCGGACCCCAAACATAAAAAGGACAGGGCAACGACACGTTAATCATTAAATGATAAATAATTTGTAACTGATTAGGAATTCAAAGAAATTAATAATAGGCCCACAAAGGGGAAGGGGATTCATTAGTCACTTTAGTGGCATAATAGTTTCCTGTAAACGTCGGTACCGTGTTTTGTCTATGGTTATGAATTACCGGGTCACGTGAATCAGTAGGCGGAGCAATCTCTTCTCTTCCGTAATGTCAATAATGTTGCTAAATGTTTATGTTATGCACATATGGATCTCTTCAGCACATATGGAGCTCCAATGCAATTTTTAGCAGCGATTCCCTTCGTTTGTAGCCAAATCTCAATAAATGTATAACTCAGGATTTGTCTGAATGTTAAGCATCTGTCTGTAGTGAGATTTCGTAAAATCTCTGCTTTTTGAGTCCGTTAAGTGACATTTTCTTTATTGACATTGAATGTTTTGGACACACTAGAACCCACGACGGAAATAATATCTCGATAAAGACTGCATAGAAATCCAAAACAAAAATGGGTAATATAGAGGAGTGTCGGGAGGGTAGAATCACATTTCGATTTTCTTAAAAAAAAGGATTGAATTTTAAATATGATGAAAACGTACCCTGCGATTGACATGTTTTTAAGGTCACATCTGGTGCAGTGGACATTCACATATAATTTTTACCGATGCTCATTTTTGAGATACATATGGGGGTTCCACCCCTGTGACATATATACATGTAATATTTAAGGTAGTCGGTGCTTCATGAAGGTCTATGTCAGTTTTTTGTACTCAGAAAAAAGTAACATTTACTCACAGCTATTTTTTCTCATTTTAGAAATAGGTTCATCACATTAAATTGTGACATTTTGAAGGTATGTCTATCCAAATACAATATGTATTTCTTTTTCAAGCTTTTTTCCATTTAAGGGCATCATCAAATGTGATGAAATGTTTTACTAAAAATGATTGAAATTTTTAAATGCATTTTTCGTTTGTTACTAAAAACATTGATTAATAATCATAATCATAATCAAACTAACAATTTGCATAAATACCTATAAAAATGAAGACTCTACAGTAAATTATAACTATTTTTAAGGAATGAAAAAAAAATAAAGGTAAAATGATTCTGAAATATGGAAGTGAGTTCCTTGTTTGTAATGATGTAGCTGACAGTATGAAAAAAATATTTGAAGTTAAACATAATAAAAAAAAAATAGCAGTAAATGATTTGAGTGTAAACAATATTTAAACGAAACCGGAATACAGACGCTTATTGACAGCTTTCGATATATTTCGTATAGTTGAGAGCAAAGGACTGATAGAAAACATGTTTTAAATTTGACCGACATTTTATAGGCCCTACGTTTGAGTGTATTTGTATCACGCCACAAATCATTCAATGAATGCATGACTGGGTAAAGTTTACATCATGTTTTGAAAAAGAATTTTATCTTATAAAATACACGTAACAGTAAGGCCGTTTAAAGCTAAAATATAATTATATTTCGTGGAAGAATAATAAGCAATAAGCGAAAGTGAAGGTTAAGCTTATACACTCCGTTTTGTTCAGAAAACTGCTACTTGAAAATTATTTTACTTCCTGCAAAATATTTTAAAGGCCCATCATGCCCAATGAACTGTTTATTTATATTCTCCAAAGCTTTTGATTTTTTGGTTGTCTATTATAGTTTGCACAATTCCAATAATCTGAACCATATTTAACATCTGTTGATTTTTGGGAAACATTCATTGTTATCTCAATTTGAAGCATTTTATTGAATTATGAATGATTTTTATAAAGGTTGTGCCTTTCTGTGCTAAGTCAGCTGAACTGTCCCACGGGTACATGGCAATTCAAATGTTTAAAAACACAAAATCGAACAAATGTATTTGTTAAATAGTAATAAGTCGATTAACATGGAAATAACGAACTGAAAGTTTAAATTTTCTGCACAATGGCGTAAAAAGTACGACACTATAATAATAATAATAATAATAATAATAATAATAATAATAATAATAATAATAATAATAATAATAATAATAAATTAATAATAATTAAAATAATAAAGTAAAAAGTTGTCGATATCAAATGATTTACATTCGAATTCTGTTTCCATTACACAACTTTCTGCACATTTCTCTACAGTTGCATTTTCAAAAACCTTTTGCACAATGGCTTTCAGATAGTTTTCAGGAATTCATGGTTTGGTATTCGGCCCCTTTACCTGAGAAAATAGTGAATCTTGTAATATGTAATTAAGTTTATTAATCAATCGTGTAAATACTTTCGAACTGAAACAGAGGTGGTTATCATTTTTTCTAGACTGAAATAAATATAAGCACTTACCACATTATAGAAGGAAGAATTCACCCGTATGCCCATCTGTATTTCTTATACAATAAATTAACCAGATTTCAAAATTAAATTGAAGTAAAAACATATGTAAATTTTAATTTAATTATTTTTATACTGTTCTTTTGGATTATAATAATTACACTTTTAAATACAAACATCTTAAACTAGGGTATGAAAAAAGTTATTACGGAGCATTGTGTGTTCCCCAGTTTCTCTGTTACCCAGTACATATCACCAGTCATGGCCTTAGTATTGGCCAAAGAAATAGCGAAAACTAGGTTACTGTACAATGTCAAATGATAATGATATATAACTCCAAGAAAAGTGAAATTTCAACCTTAAGGGTTCCCCCTTCCTATATGTACAAAAACAAACCTCGGATTTTGAGTTCCTTGATAAGCCTGTAAGTCGGTGTCCTTCGTGTACATTAGTGTCTCGTGCTACAATGAATTAACAAGAGCACAGGTTAGCATATGATTTATTCCTGGGCAGGCTGTCAAACAGTTAACTAATATTTGTGCCTTTATGTTCGCAAAATACTGATATTACTTTTGTAAATACCAGAAAGAATAACAGTAGAAATGATTTCTTTATTAACTACAAAGAACATGGCATGCACCGTCTTGATGCACAATTTATAGCTAAACGATCTACCTAATTAGCTTACCGAATAGTGACAATATGTAATGAAACTTAAAGCAATCCTAGGCAAACATATGTGGTAAGTTTGCTCTTAAGTGCCTTATTTATATTTTAACTTCATACCATATAGATATTTAAAACTTTAAAAAACGTAACCCAAAATATTGTAAAGTTATATTTTGCAAAGTCACAATAAAAAATTCTCATATATGAATTGTTTTCATATTTTAATCTTTCGATACAAAAGCCAGTGTCTTTGCTTTAAAACATTTTCTGCATATGCAAAGTATTATTTGAAAGAAACATATGTTTATAATTAAAAACATATAAGGGCTTAAACTACGCTAACACGCATCAATTTTTTTCTGTTTTCATTATTACAAAAAATATATTTTGAACTATTCAAATATTAAGACCAATAGAGCAAATCTCGTTTTGTATTTGTAATCAATTCGAATTAGTTGCGCTCTATGTAAGACCTGATTGTGTGAGAGTAATATACTTTGGTTGCAACAAGTGTATTAAATAGATTCAAGTATAAACAATCCTTCGAGTCTTATAATAGGTTAAAAAGACAGCCGATTTCAATACATATATATATTATATAACAAATTATATATATCATATCTACAATATTTGTACAATTTTGGTGAAAATTTCCGCTCTAGTACCCGATGTTATGGTTTAATAGGACATCCTATTTCAATATATAAAAAAATGTTAATTTTATAATGTTTGTACAATTACTTTGGTGAATATGTTCGCCCCGATGAAACAGTCGAAATTCGTCTAACATGTTTGTTTGTTTGTTTCATTTTACGCCTTTTTCCAACAGTATTTCAGTCATATAGGCGGGTAGTTTCCTAACCATCGTTCCTGGAGAGTTACACCAGTACTAGACTACCTTCCTCCGCGCTAAACTACCAAAGCATCTCCCGGGGATCGAACCCACGCCAGAGAGGTAACTGGACTAGAAGTCATCGACTCTAACCCCTCGACCACGGAGGCAGTTATAAATGTGATATGTATTATAAATAAATCAGTACTGGAAGCAAATAACTACCAGGTCAAAATATAAACCTTTAACCAAATTATTTGAATGCAATTCACAGTTTAAAGGGTATTTCCCTCTTTGTAAACACTCACCTTACGTTTCAGGTAGGTGTTTCGTTTTTGTCGTCGATGAAATGATCATTAATTTGCAAGATGTCCTTGAAGTAACTTGATAATCCAAATATTTGATTTTTTTCTTTCTACAGTCTTATTAAAAGCAAAACAAATATTTCAATAAAAGTCGTCCAGAATCATATATTTTCAGTACGCGATTACTGATTATAACAAAATTTTTAAACCACCAGTCGACGAATTGTCTGCAAAAAATGGTCCGAGCAGAAGAATTCAGAAGGTGCTCGATGACATATTTTCCTACCATTTGATATTCTTGCAAAAAAAAAAATTCGGCGCTACTGTTTATTTTCATTAAAAACTACTGCAAGCGTAATGGTAAAAAAAGACAGTGGAGGGTAAAGTACCATTTGGATTGATAAAAATGCGCCCGAATATGGCTGTCAAGTTTTGGTTTCACTTATGAGATTTTATCGATATTCTGAGCGGTATTTGTGATTATAAGTTAAGAATCGTTGTACTCCTGGACTTGCTGCCGTATTGGACTTGCTGCAGTATTGGACTTGCTGCTCTTCTTGGACTTGCTGCACTATTGGACTTGCTGCACTATTGGACTTGCTGCACTATTGGACTAGCTACGCTTCTTAGACTTGCTGCAGTATTTGGACTTGCTGTACTATTGGACTTGCTGCAGTATTGGACTTGCTGCACTATTGGACTTGCTGCACTATTAGACTTGCTGCACTTCTTGGACTTGCTTCACTATTAGTCTTTCTGCGCTTCTTGGACTTGCTGCGCTTCTTGGACTTGCTGCGCTTCTTAGACTTGCTGCGCTTCTTAGATTTGCTGCGCTCCTTGGACCTTGCTGCGCTTCTTAGACTTGCTGCGCTCCTTGGACTTGCTGCGCTTCTTTGACTTGCTGCGCTTTCTTAGACTTGCTGCGCTCCTTGGACTTGCTGCGCTTTCTTAGACTTGCTGCGCTCCTTGGACTTGCTGCGCTTCTTTGACTTGCTGCGCTTCTTAGACTTGCTGCGCTCCTTGGACTTGCTGCGCTTCTTAGACTTGCTGCACTATTAGACTTGCTGCACTTCTTGGACTTGCTTCACTATTAGTCTTTCTGCGCTTCTTGGACTTGCTGCGCTTCTTGGACTTGCTGCGCTTCTTAGACTTGCTGCGCTTCTTAGATTTGCTGCGCTCCTTGGACTTGCTGCGCTTCTTAGACTTGCTGCGCTCCTTGGACTTGCTGCGCTTCTTTGACTTGCTGCGCTTCTTAGACTTGCTGCGCTCCTTGGACTTGCTGCGCTTCTTAGACTTGCTGCGCTCCTTGGACTTGCTGCGCTTCTTTGACTTGCTGCGCTTCTTAGAGCTTGCTGCGCTCCTTGGACTTGCTGCGCTTCTTAGACTTGCTGCGGCTCCTTGGACTTGCTTCTTTTCTGGAAGCGGACCGTTCTTAGACTTGCTTCTTTACTGGGAAGCGGACCGTTCTTAGACTTGCTTCTTTACTGGGAAGCGGACCGTTGCTAAGGCTCAACTTCTTCACTAGAAAGCCGACCGTTTTCTAGACTTGCTGCTTTATTCGGTTTCCCTCACTGGACCTGCTCACCAACAAGGAGACTTGCTGAAAAATTAAGCTTTCCGACAATATGTATAAAGCCTCTTTCGAAATCAAATTTTTTTTCTTCTTTTTTTTTTTATTTCCAATTTTCATTTCATATAAATACACAACGCGCGAAACCGGATAGAACGCCACAATTGTGACGTCACGTCAAAACAATAAATAATACAAAATGGCGCGGACATTTGTGTTTCTTTTTCAATAAATAAAATGGCTTTTTGACAACAGCCCTCTTCAAAAGGAAATATTAAATATTTCCATCAAATGTCCAAAATAACATTCTTTTTTTTATTCATATCTGTTTTTCTTGATACTGTCGGATGCTTAGGTAGTCTGGCAAAAGACATTGTCGGAAATCCTTTGATGGCTTCAATAAACGGAACTGGATATGATTTTGAAAGAAATAAGGCCCACCTCACTAATCGACCGTTTGTCCTGGTGTACTTTTTCTGGGGATGTAACGACAATGAACCTGTGGTTCCCGTTTGTATGATGAAACTCTTTCCCGTACAAGTAATTTTTGGAACTTCTTTTATTCCCATATACGAGATTGCTAGACACTCTTTTCTCCTACAGAATGGGTTCCTTTCACGATCAAGTAGCTTCTTGCTTGCAAAGGCAATAGGAAAACAACCTCTCCCTCAATATTCTGAAGGCAATTTGGCTGAACCTATCCCAGCATTCGAGGCATCACATTGTAAAATGAATTCCCTTTCGAAAAATCAGGTAGTCGAAAAAATTGGACTCTTGGTTAGCTGCTCCCTTTAAAGTTTAAAAGCTCTTTCTTGCTCGTCCCCCATCGTACTTGTTTGGAAAGGGTTTTTTTCTTTAAAGTTTTGTAAGAGGTCCGAAATCTCAGCAAACGATGGTATAAATCTCCTGTAATACCCGGGCAAGTCTAAGAACGCTCTAACTTGTCTTTTAGTTTTGGGCATTTCCCCGTTCTTTGATTCTTGTCAGTTTTTCCCCTTCCTTTGAACTTTTTGCCTTTTCCCCAACCTATGCCCTTGAAAAAACCAAATGTTTTATATCCTATATAAAAAACTTCGATGGTTTTTTTTTGGTAATTTCTGCTTCTCCCAATTTTTTGGAGGAGCTCCCCCCCAGCATTGTCTTTTTTCTGTCCAGGTTGTTGTTTTTCCCTATCTTTAATTGTAAACATAATTGCCCAAAAAAATCACACCCGGGCCAAAAACTCCGAAATCTTTCGTTAAATGTGGCTCCAGAGTTAACCATACCGAAAGGCTTTTTTCCCTTAAATTTTGTTTAACCCCCTCTTTTCCTTTTGCAAATGTTTGAAAATTCTGCGGCCCAATTTTTCGGGAAAACTGGGATTTGCCAAAAACCCTTGCATAAGTCGATTTTTGGGTAAAATACTTTGCATCTTTTACTTTGCCTTTAATGTCATCAAAAGCTTGCATTGGTTGGGGTGTAAAAAATTTGGGGTGACGGCATTCAGTCTTCAAAAAATCGTTTACAAAATCTATTACTTCCCATCTTTCTTTTTGACAATAAATTTAGGGGGTTTGCGTTGTTTTCCCGACCCCCGGGATTTTTAAAATCACAAAAGCTTTACATATTTGTTTTTCCCTTTTTCAACAGCTTGTCTTTTGGATAGGGTATGGGGTACTTTTTTCACTCTCACAGGCGTCTTCCCCCTTTTAATTTTCAAAAAATGGTGCTCTATCAGGAGTTGTTCCGGGGTCGCTCTGAAAACACCTTCGCTAAACTCTTGAAGTATGGCAAGAGAAACTTGCTTCCCTCTGTTTCAGGAGTAAGTCCCTTCACTGATATTGACATTTGGGTATGTTTTCTCCACTTGTGTAGTTAGGGAAGTCCCAGGAGGACAATTTTCACAGTCGGTCCACCGTCCCATCTGAATTATCATCAAACGTTCTTCTATGATCGCATACACATTTTGCTTTGCAATCTTATCTTGGCGCTCTTCATTATTTTCTTCAGCAAATTAATGTGGAACGTCTTCAGCTTGTATCTCCAATCTTGATTCTGTAATCAAATTTTTTTCATTACTTCGAACAACTTTTGAAAAGGTCCTTTCCATTGCAGCATCATATCTTATTATTATCCGTGGGGAGAAGCAGTAACACTTTATCTCCTACTCGCAAAACTCTATTTCGGGCTCCCCTCTTGTCGTAGTGATGCTTGTATGTATTCTTTCTTTCGTCAGGCTTTCTCTGGCTCCCCTTTCCCATGTCTCCTTAAGCGCTGCTTCAGGTTAAAGGCACATACAGGTATGTATTTTTGTATTTTGGTCATCTTTGAGTCCACATGTCCCTTATTTTTTTGCTTTGGGCCCCTTTTAAACTGTTCTTCCGTAAAAGCAACTCAAAGGGGGAAAAATTTCCTTTGTACTCGCCTGTGGTACCTCTCGTTTTGAAAATTTAAAAACGGCCGGTAGGTACTACCCCAGCCCTTCGGTCTTTCCTGCACATTTTCCCCCAGCATATTTTTAAGCACTCCTTTTCATCCGCTCACACAACCGTTGCACTTTGGTTTGGGTAAGGGTTTGAAGATTTTGCTTCAAAAAGTATAAAGTGGGCCCATATCTTTTTCATGGGGTTGCTGTAAAATTGATTTCCCTTTGTCATTTAAAGAATTTCTAAAGGGGGAATCCTCCCCTTTGGGAAATATATTTCAAGCAGTGCTTCAGCAATGCTCTCGGTGGGCTATTTTTCCCCAAAGGGACGGCTTCAGGGTAACGTGGGGGCAAAAATTTCCCCCCACCGTCAAGATTAAATCTGTTGGCCCCTTTCCGACATGGTTAATCGGGCCCCATCAATCTTTGCTACTCGATGAAATGGTTCCCCAAACACCGGCATGTCTTTCCCAGGGGACCTTCTTTTTACCCCCCTTTTGGGGTGGTCTTCTGGGCCCCGTCAACGGGTCTGCAAAAAAGGTTCCCACATTTTCCCCTTATTCCCCGGCCAAATGGGAAACTTGTCAGGGTTCTGTCCCCTTTCTTTTTTGATTTACAAATGTTTTAACCCAAAAATGGATTTATGGGCCCAAATTCCATCACCTCTTCCCAAAGTCTGTTTTGGAAAAACAATCTGCTTGGGGGTTTATCAAACCAAATTTTTTTGGGAAAATAGGGGTCTAAAAAAACACAACCGGTTTTTCCCCCCCACGGGGTTTTTAAATTGGCCCCAAACCCTTTTTTTTTTGGTTTTTTCTGCCCTTTTCTGCTAAGTCCCAAAATTTCTTTAATAAGGTCACCTTTTTGGGATTCCCTTTAAATTTTTCTATGTCAAAATTCGCTTTTGCAGGAAAGGTTTTTTGGAAAAGTCAACTCTAGTTGGACGGTCTGCTCTTTTGATGCTGTGCCTTGGGCATTTACTTTCTGGGAAAAAGCCCATGGTTCTTCTGTCTCCTTCCAAATTTTGGATCAGGGTTATCAATTTCTCCGGGAAGTTACCCCAATTTACTAAAAACCATATTAATGGACTTTTAAGCACCATTGGCCCCTAACTCCCCCCAAAATAGATGGGCGTATCTTTCCCAAAATTTTTGCCAAAGGGAAATACTTTTGGCAAAAACCTTCCCCCTCAATTGTTATTTATAACAATTTCCCTTTTCCCCTTTAGTTTTTTCTTCTTTTTACAAACCCTTCTTTTTTTTACCCCCGCTTAAAATCACATCCAGTATCTCTCCCAACCAAAAATCTAAATGAAACTGCTCCCAAAAAAGCCCTTTTTTTAAAATCCAGGGTTTTTTTCCTTTTTCCAATAAAACAAAAGGTTCAAGCTCCCGAAAAGGGAAACGGGACATCTCAAACCCCTGGTAAATTCAAATTTCCCTCTTTCCCGTTTCTTCCTAGTGGATTAAGGTCTGCTTTGGCACATACGGCTGCTTTTTTTGCGGGACTTCTTAAAAACCCTTTTATTTTTTCTGCCTACAAAATTTTTTCAAAATGGCCCGTCTTGTTTTCAAATAAAGCCCCAAAAAACCTTTTGGTGCTTGGTTCTGTTTTCGGGCGGCAGTTCTTTGGGTAAATTTGGGGGCCCCCTTATTACAAAAAAAGCATGTCTTCCTGGGGAATTTCTATTCTCGTCAAATTGCTTTTTATGTCTCTGGGAAAGGGGTCTCTTGCCCCCTCTGCCCTTGTTTTGGGAAAATGGAGTACCCCTTTCCCAAAAAAGAAAAAACCCCCCCTTTATGCGCTTTAGTACTGCTTCTGCAAAGGGGTGTTTAAATCTTCTAATTTTAATTTTCCGGGACTCTTTCTTTTAGGAAACGGCCAAATCTGTTGGGAAACACCCCTTTATGAATGTTCCTTGATTAAGAGTTTGCTTATTCCCCTGAAAGGGGCTGCTCCTTTCCCGCCATTCTGTCCACCTTGTTTAAATATCGTCTCAACCTCTCAATGAACTGAAAAACAGACTCAAAAACCCGGTAGTGGTCTGCTTGGGCCCGAAATTCACCCGAAACCCTCTTCAGTCCCAAATGGTATCGTTTTAAAAAAATAGCCCTTCCCTTTAAGGGGTCAAAACTCGTTGGCTTCTTCAATAGGCAAAAATTGTAAATACTTTTAGACCCTTTCCCCGAAAGTAATGAGCTTAAGCTCATTGCCCAAATGTCTCTCTCCCAGTCTTTTGGGTATGGCAAAACTTTTCAAATCTTTTCCAAAATTTAATTTTATATTATCTTTGCTTCATCGAAACTTTGGGGATTTTTTGGTCTGAGGGACTTGCTTCCCCCACTGGGGGTTTTCTTTGGGAGGATTTTTAATTTTGCTCAATTCGAGATCTTTTTTCCTTTTATCTGGGGGCTCAAAGTTTATTTCCCTCTGTCTTCTTTTTTTTTCAACGCCTTCGGGGCCCCTTTTCCCCTCTGGGTAGGCATTCTTCTTCCCTTTTTTCTTGAAGAAAAAAATTTTAAAAAATCGGGTGCCCGGGTAAACCCTTTGCTTTTCTTTCCCATTCTTAACCATTCGTCGTAATCATGGGTTTCTCTTTTATCAAAAACTTTTTTTAATGATCCCCGGGGGAGCCCCCAAAATTTTAAGTTTTGGTTTACTTATGAGGAAATTTTTTCGATATTCTGAAAACGGTTTTTTGTGATTAAAAAAGTTTTAAAAATCTTGTACCTTTCCCCGGACTTTTCGCCGGGTTTGGGGCTTTTTCTGCAGTATTGGGCTTGCTTTCTCTTCGGACTTGCTGCACTATTGGACTTGGGTGCACTATTGGACTTGCTGCACTATTTTGGGCTTTGCTTTCGCCTTCTTTGACTTGCTGCAGTATTGGACTTGCGTACTTTGGACTTGCTTTCAGTAATTTGGGCTTGCCCGACTATTGGGTTGCTGCCCCTATTTTGAAATTTTCTGACCCTTTTTGGACTTGCTTCACTATTTTCTTTTTTGGGGCCTTTTTTTGGAACCCTTTCTGCGCTTCTTGACTTGCCCGCGCTTTTTTAGACTTGCTTTCGCTTTCCCTTTGATTTTGGGGGCGCTCCTTGGGCTTGGGTTTCGCTTTTTTAGACTTGTTGGCTCCTTGGACTTGCTGCGCTTTTTTTGACTTGGGTGCGCTTTTTTAGACTTCTTTCGCTCCTTGGAATTGGGTGCGCTTTTTTAGCTTTGGGTTTGGGGTCCTTGGACTTCTGCGCTTCTTTGGGCTTGCTGCGCTTCTTAAGGGGCCTTTTCTGCGCTCTTGGATTTTCCCGCGCTTTCTTAGACTTGCTGCACTATTAGACTTGTGCACTTCTTGGATTGCTTCACTATTAGTCTTTCGCGCTTCTTGGCTTTGCGCTTCTTTTGGGCTTTTCTTGCCCCTCTTTAAAACTTGGGTGCGCTTCTTAGATTTTTCTGCGCTCCCTTTGGGTTGCCCGCGCTTCTTAGACTTGCTGCGCTTTCCTTTTGGGCTTGCCCCGGGGCTTCTTTGACTTTTCTGGGGCTTTTTAGACTTGCTGCGCTCCTTGGACTTGCTGCGCTTTTTAGAAATTGCTGCGCTCCTTGGATTGCCCGCGCTTCTTTGCTTGCTGCGCCTTTTTTTGACTTGCCCGCGCTCCTTGGCTTTCCCGCGCTTCTTAGAAATTGCCCGCGCTCCTTGGGCTTGCTTCTTTTCTGGGGAACCCGGGCCCTTTTAGATTGCTACTTTTCTGGGAAGGGGGAAACCTTCTTGAACCCTTTCTTCTTTACTGGGAAACGGACCGTTTTTAAAGGGTCAACCCCCTTCACTTTGAAAGCCACCGGTTTTTTGATTTCTGCTTTTTTTTCGGGTTCCCTCACTGGACCTGTCACCAAAAAGGAGGGCTTCTGAAAAATTTAAAGGCCCTTTCCGGGCAATTGTTTAAAAACCTCTTTCGAAATTTAAATTTTTTTTTTTTTCTTTTTTTTTATTTCCAAAATTTTAAATTTCCCTTAAATTTCAAACGCGCGAAAACCGGTAGGGAAAGCCACAAATTTTGACGTCCCCCGTAAAACAATAAAAAATACCCAAAAAGGCGGACATTTGTGTTTTTTTTCATAAAATAAATGGGTATTTTTACAATGGCATTTTTGTTATTATTTATTAAAACCCAAAAAAAAAAATTGAAATTTTTAAATTTTGGAAGTCGAAGGGTTGGGCCCTTTTGGGGGTAACCAAATGATATTAAACTAATACGAACTTGTCCTCACACCTTACATTTCTCTTAATTTTATTTTTTTCTCATTTTTGAAAAAAAATGCAAATTATCTGTATGATATCCCATTTATTTTTGATTTACTTTTTTAGTTAGTACCCCAAATTTAAATTTGGTAATTTCGTATCAACCCCTACTGAAAAAGCAGGCTTAAATATTTTATTTTGTTTACGGGACAATTTGATTTTTTGTTCCAAAAAAAATAAAATTTTAAAAATTAAAAATTTTCACTATAATAAGGTTAAAAAAAAACCATGATTTTTTCAATTTAAAGATATAAAAAACTGTATAGCTGTAACAATTGAACATTGTTAAATAAAAATCTTGTATCGGGTTTTTATTGGGGAAATTTAAAAAAGGTAAACCTTTTTTTAAAAAAAAAAGTTTGGTTTTTTTCTTTTTTCTATCCCGTAAAGTTGAAAAATCTACTGCATATCTGACAATCTGGGCCCGTTAAAAATGGGCGATCCATGTTTCCCCTTTAGTCTTACCCTGGTCTACCCGTTTTAAATTCAATTTTTTTCTTTTTAAAATTTTACATTTTGTTTTTGTTTTAAAAACTATTTAAAAATGT